TACAATCTCACTCTAAATATAACTAAAGTGTGGCTTGATTTGCTTTGAATGCTATATCTGCCCGGTGACCAACTGGTAAGGGAGTGCCAACCGGTATCGATCCTGTAGGGTGCTCTGGGAAGACCTGGGCGAGGCATAAACCGCGGTCTGATCCAGCCTAGATAAGTTAATATTTTAAGACGCGAGTAAAATTCAGTGTCACTATGGGGCCTACTTGGCTCATTATGGGCATATTCAATTGTCAACCTTTAAATCACGTTCAACCACCAAGGGTGACTATGTTCATATAAGGAGAAGCTGGGTTTCAAAGATATGAAGAGAACATGCATTTAAACGGGTTAAAGTGATGTAAGGAGAGGAGCGGATGTGGCCACAACTCTTGTATATGTAAATATACTAGCATATGATTCTGTAGACCAAGGGTGACTATGCTCTTATTCATATTGGTGATAGTATGAAATTTATTCATCCTATTTCGTTAAGATGATGAAGCACTGGTAGTTGATTTTTTCCCCAATGATATAAATAGACCTTAAGTTTTTAATTGAATTTCACGCAGACTTGCTTACCAAAAGGTATTATCATCCAGGTTGGACGGCAGTTACAAAATCACCTTGTTCTGCTCGGCACCGCAGGCAAGATTCAAACCGTAATAGTGCAGAGTATAATCTCGACATGTTAAGCATATAATCCACCGATAGTCTCGAGCACCTACTTATCACCGAAAAGTAAGTAATATACTCGATTACTATAGAAAATAAAATTTGCTTCATCGATAATCCCAGATAATGTGATGTGGTCAAAATGCCTGTCTTTCCTTCTAATTAACATCTGTTCGGTGAGTCAAAACCACTCGTAGCAGTGCATGGGTTAACGTGTTGAGATTATTCGCTGCACTCTTACAGTTTGAGTCCCTATGGGAGTCCTGAGGAGACATAGGCTGTCAACCCTGGATGAGAATACCTTTCGGGAAGCAAGTTTATGTGAAATTTAATAGAAACATGAGGTCTACTCATATTATTTTGATAAAATTCAAATACCTGACTTACATCACCTTAATAAAATAGGGTTAATACATATGATATATGATTTACTGTGAGTCTCGATAACCCACTTGTAAGCGAAAAATTGGTGATATTTACGAAGACTACTTGCTAACATAATTTTACTCTTTAATCTGTAGTCCATTAATATTCGAATTTTATTCCCTTATTGATTTTCTCCCTCTTAATCAATCAACACGCATTGTCAGCCGAGACAAGTATCTCGGACGTTTTGACTCCGTTCAGGTCACGATGGTCCTTTACACAAGCTCATCCAGCCCATTCAATCTTTGCCACATCTTCAACATTCTCGTCAGCCCCAGCAGCGCCAGAAACAAGGCCGATAACGACATGTATCCGCCAATTTATACGTGGATCACCGTCCATTATTGACGACCAACATCAGCATTTTCTAGGCGATGTGACTTCTGGCGCCAGCTCCATGCCGGATGTGGTACCACGCCGCGTGCTTCAGCATTGCCCTCGGAATCAACTTATAAACCAATCACATAATCATCATTGTCATCAGCGTCATCACTATGACAGTGATAATATTCATCATTATACTTGCATGCCTCAACCCGACGACTGCTATCATCATTCGCATCATTGTTACCACAGCCTGTATCCGACACAACACAGTACAGGCCATACATCCTGTGTTTTCGAGCATGAAAACAACGAAATGTCAGGTTGTACAGCAACAACTCTAACTTCAACGTCAACGGGAAATCGTCTCACTTGCCGTCAGCCTAATGCCTGCCATCTCGTGACGAACGTGGCGACATCTTCTATAGCAAATCCCTCCATGCAAGACTTTGCACCTCCATCAGCACCAAATTCGACCTGGACCACACCCTTAGACCAGCTTGGTACGGATGAGTCAACTCCCCGCAGCGCCTCGGTGCCCCTCGAGGGACGAGCAGGCTTGGCCGGCGTTCGACAGGTTTACGGCGAATCCGCCTCGTCCCTAGCCAGGGAACTCCACCCTCACTACTGCCCTTGTCTTCAACTGGACCACCACATGTCTGGTCAGTGTAACTTGAGCCCTCAGCAACAGCACCATTGCCAGAGCCTGAGTCAATTGGGCCAACGTTTACGCGCTGACGACTTGGTGAGGTCAGGAATCTTAAACTGCTGCAGTTGTTGCTGTTATCATAACAGCGGAAGCACTGGTATTAGATCTTCACAATCCTTTGAACAGACCAATACCCATCGTCAGGGTAGCTGCGGAATCCTCTCCTCACGCTTGGCACGGATTGGAGACGAGCTGGATTTAGCCAGACATAGTCAAAGTCTGGTCAGTCTATACTAGTTTTCAAATTCCTTCCCATCGACAAGTTAGAGCCCAGATCTCTACTGGCATAGCCTTCTGTTCTGACTTTAAGTTTCGAATCAAATGATTCACACGCCAGCCTATTGCACCATCTGCCATTGGCATGAGCCTTTTCAAGAATACTAACAGTCAAATATAGTAGAATTTATCTTAAGGTTATATCAGGAATGATAGTTCACTTTTTCAAAATGAATTTCCTTGCAATTTTTGTGAACATACCCATTTATTACGACAGGGACGGCTTGGAGAAA